AATACAATCTGGATAACAAAAAACAAAGAGGAGATGCAAGCAATTGTGCAAATTTCATAAAGATTTTTTAAGTTTAATGATATTCAGATCAATAGTGCTAAGTCAAAGTTGTTGGCAATTAATCTAAGTATAAGAAGTGAAGAAAGATAGATAGTAATAGATTTAGATCAAGTACAGACTAAAAAAAAGCATATACTAATAAGAATGTTAAGAGTATAGTTAAGTATAGAAGTGAATGAAAGATTAGTTAAAAAAAAGATGAAGAACATTATGCAACAATTTATAAGAAGCTTATGATCTAAGAAATTAACTATTAGCTAGCTAATATATATTAACAATATGTATATAATACCAAAATTGGTGTACATACTGCAAACAACAAAAGTGTCCAAAGAGTGCATAAATCACTTACATCAGCCAGTAATTAGATTGATTAAAAACAAATTAGATCTGTTAGCAACTGTAGAAAATAGCATAATTGTACATTAAAGTTTAGAAAGATGTAGAGTGCTGAATTAGGAAATATTTAATAGTTAGCTGGTTTTTTTACAAAGAAGACTAAATGAGTCAGATCAAGTTGATGAAGTAACAAGAATATGTATGAAACAAGGTTATACTCTAACAGAACTGATATCAGAAAAGATAAATATAGCATATACAAGTAATTTAAAAAAGATATAAAAAAGAAATCTTGTATGCTTAATATTGCTACAAGCAAATAAAATAGATTTAAAGATAAAGGCAAAAAGAGTTCTTTGGCAAGTTTTTGGTATAGATAAAACTGTACAGAGCTTGTTGAAGAACGAGGCATTTAAAATAACTTGTAAAAAGCTAATGCAGAATAAATTGTTTTTTGCACAGCAGTTAATAGATCAAAAAGGTAAAAAAAATAATCATATATAAGAAATTTAGAGCATTATGTACAAGTATACAAAAAAGACAGAAAGCAAAATGGTTTGCCAAAATTGAACAGAAGATGTTAAGAGACCAAGTAAATAGAACAGTTCAACCTAAGTTTCAAACACAAAAGACAAATACTATAACAATAAAAATTAAGGTTAAGAAGTTATCACAAGATAAAAGGAAATGAGAATAGGTGTTAGTGAACAAAGAGAATACTGAACCAATAGTAGGCAAAGTAGTCAAAAAAAAAAAAAAACATATTGATAAATCATTAAAACATATTACAAGTTGAAGAAGAAAGTTACTTGGTACTTGTAGAATGTGATAAATGTAATCTGAGTAACAACAGTAGTACAAGCAGGTGTTAATATTAGGTTAAGAAGAGTGCAATAGTAGGAGTATTACCAGGAGTAAGACAGATGTATGAGCAAAAGGTACCAGTTTTGGTTGAAGAACTAAAAGGGTATAATAAGTGTCAGATAAAAAAAGATAACATAAGTAAAGAAAGAACCATAAGTGAAAAATAATGCTATATAGTCATGAAATTAGTTTATTGAAAATGCAAGATCTAAATAACAGTTTAAAAAGTATGCTATTAGAGCAGTTAGAAAAGAACATTATAAATGAGCATATAAAATACAATTTTTATACAGATGGGTTATTAGTAAAAGTAGAAAAGAAGTATAGAATGAGTGTAAGTTAGATGCAAGTTAGTAAAGATAAAAAGGAGGTTATAATGAAAGGTAAAGTTAGATTAGAGAAATAGCCATCATCAACAAAGGTAAAGTTAACAGCAGTATTGATAGTAGTTTTAGTTGTAGCTAATAACAGTAAAGTAATAATTAAATTAGATAGTTCAGTGGCAATTGCAAGGCTGAAAAGAGAGAAGTCTATGTTTAATATTAGAGCATAAAGCAAAACCAAAAACTTCAGATTAGTAATGAAGATTAAAAATATGTGCAGATCAAAAAATATCAAACTAGTGCTAGTTAAGATTAAAGGACATAGTGGAATAGTATAGAATAAAAGAGCTGACAAACTTGCAAAAGAAGGCATATTGTTAGGTAAATGCTCAAACCTGAAACTTGAAAGAAACTGCTAATTTTTATGTACACTATACTGAAAAGATTTAATAGTAGAAATACCTATCAAAAAGTTCATAAAGATATTAATGAACATGATAAATAGTACTGAATAGTGGTGCTCAAAGGTGGTTAGAAAACTTGAACCAAATGCTAAAGTTTAAAGAGATTGAAAAGCATTGTGAAAGGAAAACAGAAGTTTAATGAGAGTCAAATGTAAATCACTAAAGGCAAGTAAGAAGATAATATTTAGAATTAAGTATATAAGCAATAGTTTACTAGTTCTTGATGTACTAAAGAAGAGAATATCAGACATATACAAGACAGATAAATGTAAAGAATGCTATAAAGAACAAAAGACATCAATATATTTACTTAGATATGAAGTATACAGTAGATATTAGAACAATATTGAAGAGTTGGCATGCTAGTTGATATGGAAAAAGCTTGATAAAGTAGATAAAAGCAAAATTATGAAACTTGAGTTAAACAAAATATTTGTTGAAAAAACTAAAGCAGATAAGATTAAGCACTGTAAGTCATATATATGTAGCTTAGCAATAGAAAGTATGTTTAAGAAATTATATGCGAAGCAAGTATTACAAAAAGATACAAAACATTCTGTGAAACTATATATTAAGATTGTAGAAGAAATGTTTAGAGAAGAAATATGGTAGAGAAGATGCAAAACAGTAACTAAATAGAAAGACGAGAATAGAATAACCTCTAAGATGAAATGATGCAGAATAAAGAAAGATAAAGATAAAAGCTATAGTTCAAAAAAAATTAAAAATAGAAGAGATAACAAGAAAAGTATAACAAGTAAGACAAAAGTTGGTAAAGATAAAAAGAGAGAAGTGAAATATGTTCAGATATTCAATAAATAGGTAGATGAACTAGTGTAGAATAAAACAAATCTGTTCTGATTCAGTTCTTGACAGAGCTGACAAGGTTTCCTAGTTTAGGCATAAACTGATATGACAAGTCACATTTGAGTACAGTTTCTGTACTTGGGTGATGCTAGGCTTGCAATTTCAAAATATGAATTACTAGAAATAGTTAATGTTTTAAATAGTAAAATTTTGTATTTGAGCTTTAACAAGACTGTTAAAGAATAAAAAATAAATAAATAAATAAAATGAAAAAAGATGCTTGTATAAAAGAGAAAACAAAAAAGAGAATAAAAAAAGATAAATAAGTAAAAGAAGAAGAAAAAGAAAAGAAAACAGAAAAAACAGACCAAATAAAGAAAGAAGCTTTGAAGACAATAAATTTGCTTGTCACAAAAGAGGAAAAACCCTTTTGGTATAGTTTTAAGTAGTTAGACAAGAAGTTTATTTCTAACTAAGATAGTGCAGTAGGTTGTACTTAGATACTATCAGAGTGGCTAAGTGATGTTAAATTTAGATATTAGAAAATTTTATATAATTGTATATGTATATAGTTTCAAGAATCTTAATAAAGTACTAGCATAATTGTTTAAGATTATAAAAAAAAAAAAAAAATTAAAAAGAAACAATTAAAATAAGTGTAAAGTAAAATTAGAAAGTAGGTTAAAAATAAAAGAGTAAGTTATTGATCTTAAAATACAGTAAAAAATTGTCTTTAAATTTTTATAACTTATAAATATTATATAAAGAAGGGTCAGGTATTCTGGTGCAGGGGTATTGTAGTGCACTCACATTTTTTGACAATTTCTCATGATACAGTGATCTGAATCGAATAATTTTAGTATCATTCGATCCATCTTATCAAAATGCATTGAATGATACAAAAATCACTTTATTTGGATCATTAAGGTGCAAGAAATGAGAGAAAGTTGTGTGAGTATTATGCTATTTCTTTAATTTTAAATAAATTTTATTATGTATTTTCTTATTTAGATAACAATGCAATATATTACATAGTGATGTTTTAACAAGGATTAGTAACCTTCAAATAGGAAAAAATTATAAAAGCAAGTCAGAACTCTTTAAAAACATTAAAATACAAAAATATTAAGTTTTTTGATTTGATAATTAACATCCAAGAACCATATATTCATATGAACTTGTGTTTAATAAAGAAAACATTAATAAAACAGAACTCTGGCATATCACTATAAAATTATATTCAAATTAAACTACTAGTTTGTGATTGTTTTTTTTTTGTTTTCTATCATAAGCAATTCTATCCTTTAATTAGGGTTCAGAGCATGAAAAAAAAATTAGGCATGCCCATATGGGCATGCCCCTGAGCTAAGGCATGCACCTCATGCCCATGGGCATATCTTTTTTAAATTATGTAATTAACACATAGTTCACAACTTCTTAAAAATCTTACATGTTGATTTAGTATCTGTAGTTCTAGTTTATCTGAACTTATTAGCTAATTAAAATAACTTTAAACATCACATGACAAGGGCATGCCCCATGCCCCTGTGCTTTAAACTTTACCTTTAATAAGTAAATTGCCTTTGTGCAAATTTGCTAATTTCATAATAGACGATTTTTTCTCCTTTTTGTTATTAGACAACTAATGGGTCTAAGCAATACTATTTCTGTAAATAGCTAGTTATAGCAATATTACCTTTATGTAAGTTTACTATTTTGTAATATCTGAATTTTTTATTAAACAATTAATAGGTCTAAATAGTGCTATTTTGTAAACAGTTATTGTAAACAAAGATATCATAAATCTAATCATGTTATAAATAATCTTGCGATTGTTATCGTATTCAACAAAAAAAATTATAACTACATACAAAGACAATCGTGATCATGATTACAATTGCAAGGATGAATAATTGCATTTATATGTTATCATTATTGCATACAAATAAAGCAATTATGATCATAATCATGATCATAACTACAAACAAACGGAGTTATAATTGTGCAAAAGATATAAATTGTCCTAAGTTTTGCAATTAAAAAAAAAATAAAAAAATAAATAAAAATAAAAAACTAAAGACTAAAAATATAAAAAAAAAACAAAAACAAAATGTGCTTCAAAGTCATGTCCAAGTTCAAAATTATGTCCAAGCCCAAACTCATAATCAAACCTACTATAACTAAATCAAATCTCCAATTAAACCAAACTGCGTGTATAAAAGCCATTGAGTCTGCTCTTAAAGCACTTTTTAGCCCTGAACGACCTAGCATTCGAGCGATTACATCAAGATTTAGAATTCTGTCGACAACTTTAAGGCATGCAGTTAAGAATAATGGCTTACCCAACTATCGTGGCCCTGCAACAATCTTAAGCACTCATGAAGAACAACAATTAGTTGGTTATTGTAAAAATATGCAAAAGTTAGGGTTTGGTCTTACAAGGTTAGGTGTTAATTACTGCATAATGAACATTGTAAAAAGTAACAACCATAACCACCCTTTTAAAAATAATGGACCTGGTAAGGCCTGGTGGAAACGTTTCATAAGAGATTATCCTGATTTGTCTTTTCATGTACCTTAAGCCTTGTCAGAGGCATGTGCACAGAGAGCCAATCCAATTATTGTTAGAGACCATTTCGATAAATTCCATAAAATAATTGAACAACATTTACTTACCACTGACCAAATCTGGAATATGGATAAAATCAGGTTTGTTATATCCTCCAAGATACAGAAAGTCATTGCAACAAAAGGTTCTTACCAAATACATAAAGTTTCACATAGAAACTCTCATGAACATATCTCTGTTATTCTGATGATTTTAGCTACTGGCAGCTACATACCACTCTTAATTATTTACAAGGGCATTTGCACAATTCCCAATTTATTAGATAGTGCTTTGGCTAGCACCATTATGGGCTTTACCGACTTAGGGTATATGAAAGAAGACCTGTTTCAAATGTATATTGAACATTTTATTAGTTCTATTCCTACTTGATGCCCAGTTCTTCTAACTCTTGATGGCCACAAGAGTCATATAAATTATATAAGCATCAATTTTTGCTATGAAAATGAAATTCTTCTATATGTCCTTTCTCTGCATACAACCCATATCCTTCAGCCATCTGAACTTCCATTTTTCAAACTAAAAGCTGAATACAGCAAGGCTTGCAATAAGCTTCATAGTGAGAGTGGAGAATTAGTAACCAAACACACATTCACCAAAATGTTTGGTTCAGTGTATATAAAAACTTACATACCTAATATGATTATTAATACTTATAAAGCTACGGGAATTTGGCCTTTTAATCCTAACGCTATTAATCCAGATCATCTTGCTCCCTCTATATATACAGAACGAATTGATGTTTTATCTTCATCCCAACCAACTAATCAAGAACTTCTTTCAAATGCCGTATCATCATCATCTTAACATAATTCCCTTATATCGTCTAAAGCCATCCATTATTTCTCTATATCATCTCAGACTGTTCATTATTCCTCTGTATCATCTCAAGCTGTCCATTATTCCTCTATTTCATCTTCTCAACAAAGTCATTCTTTTACTCAAGCTAGTACTACAATAGAGAATGAACTTTTAAAAACAGGAATAACTTTTCTAAAGAATGAAAATAAAATATTAAAAGAAAAACTTGAAACATTTAAAAATCCCAATATCTGCTCACTAAAACTAGCTCTTAAGTATCCTATTTCCTGAGTATCGCAAGCAACTGAATCAGATCCCCAACAGGCAAAAAAGAGAAAAACTCTCACCTTCACTCGACTTCTTACTAATGAGGAATCTATATGAGCATTAAAAGAAATGAACGAATTAGCAAAGAACAAAGTGGAAAGCACAAAACAAAGAAAAGAAGCAGCTGCCCAAAAATGAGCTGATAGGGAAGTAAAGAAAGCACAAAAAAGGGCTAAAATAGAACGAAAAAAGGAAGAACATCTGCATAAAAAGAGTAAAAAGAATATAATTAATATTAACATTAATCAAAGTTAATCTTTGATCATGTGGTTATATATATCATTCAGATTTAAGTTACTTTTTTAATATAGTTTATAGTGTATTTATATAGAGATATCAAGAATATGATTTATACAGTACGCTGCAGTATGTAGATCCATTAATATGCGTAGTGCGCCAGAATGCCTCCTGTTAAAAAAAACATAACAGTTTTTTGATAATTTTAGAAGGTCAAAAATCTTTTTTTTTTATAGTAAAGCCTTTTTTTTTGTTTTACTGATAGGCAGTAAATTGTGTTTTTAGTTTATTTCAATAAATCTTAAGAACAACTACACTTTTCCTAAGAATTTTTACTATTAGCACTCTTAGGTGTACCAGAATACCCGACCCTTCCTTATATTTATTAGTTTTAAGATATAGTAATTTAGTGAAGTGGATAGATTGTCAATCTTCAAATAGTAGGTCTAAAATTCAATTCTCATGAATGATGAATTTTGGAAATTATATATGTGTTATAATAATTGTTTTTTGTTGATAAGTTGGGTTTATACATCTGTAATTTTAGATATACCTGATTAGGAACTATCTAATTTTAGAAGCTTAAGGCATTTATATGAAATGTAATATTACATATATATAGAAGAATATAAAAAACTAATATTATATAAGGTCTCAGTACAAATCTATAATAAGACTACCAAAGGTAAAAACTAAAAAATCAAGAAGACAAAAACTCACTTAAAAATCCTAAATAAAGAGATAACACAAACTTTTAATAATACTATTAGATCAATAAAAGCTCATAAAATTTCTTCAAAGAAATTGTCAAATAAATCAGATAATAGATATATAAGGGAAGCATATACATCAGCCAGATTATTGAAATTGTCAGAAGAAAAGAATATATAAGTATACTATATTGGGTCATCTGAATTGATAATCTAGGAAGTCTTATTAGTTTGGAATAGTGATTAATAAGAGATAATAAATAAAATATCAGAAAAGATAAGTACTAGGGTTTGGATAAACTTTACAAGAATAATAGTAGTTTAATAAACAACTCTGACTACAAATGTTGGTCTTAGCTATAGCATTAAACCAGATTAATAATAAAAAAAAAATATGTCTTATTTTGGTAGGTTTATCTTGAAGATAAAAATCTAAGAATTATAATCCTAAAGATTGATAATAAAAGGATTTGGATCTGTGACCTGATAAATTTAATACCAGAATTAGATTAGAAAGTTTAAATAAAACACCTAAATAAAAATGTTAGATACAACAACTGGTAAGAAATCTTTGGGCAGACTTCTTAAATAGGTAATATAGAAAAGTTATATATATAACTAGTTGTACACTCATCTGATAGTTTAATATGAATATGTCTATATATACATGCGCCTAATATAAGTATTAATAAAAAATCAGAATCAAAAAAGGTTACCTTAATACTAAAAAAAAACAAATATATTTATTAGTTTTAATTTCTTTAAATTTTTACATTTAAGTTAAAATTTTATTCTATATAGTTTTTGTTAAATATTCTAAATAAATAGAAAAATAGTAGAATTAATTCTATTTAATATAGTTTATAATTTTTAAAAACCCAACACAGGCTTATAATTATAACTATCTAATAATTATGTAGTAAAAGTTGCATATATTTTTTATTTTTTTCTTTTTTATTTTATTTTTTATTTTTTGTATTGTATTTTTTATCATTTTCTTCTATACCTTTGTGTTTATTTTATATATAAATTTTTTTTATTTTTGTTCATTTCTCTACAAAATGTTATTAAATTGGCAATATCCTATTGTAGAGCAGTGGTCAAATGCAACCTTTGATATATTCTAATTTCTTATAAAGTTAGACAATCAGTGTAGGCAAATTACTTGTAGGACTTATAAAAGTATCTGCAGAATGTTGAACCAAAATTTATGCAAAATTTTTGTACATATGTATGAAAAAAATTATAATAAAGGTAAACCAACAAGACTGTTCAAGTAAAGAAAAAAAAAATTGTATAAAAATAAAGTTTTTAAAAATAATGTCATATAGTATTATTTTTGTATTATTTTTAAAATTCTATAACAATACTAGTTTTTATATAAAAAATAAATGCTACCTTACTAAGCATAATTGTAATATTTGAATTATTAGATTAATTAATTGTATAAAATATACCAGTTATCCTATAAGCAAATTGTAAAAGTAATTATTTATATATATAATATAAAAGAATTAATTATTACCTATGTTTTCTTATATTTATAATTTTACATCAAAATAAAATAGCTTTTTATTCAAAGTTGATAAAATACTCAAATAATTTTATAAGCGACATTTGAAAAAAAAATTAAAATTTCAATAAAACAATTTTAATATGATCATTTATGCAATTTTATATATAACTGATAATATAACCAAATACAATTTTTTCTGCTAAACCAATTATTTAAAACTTTAGTTTTTATCTAAAGCTTTTTCTTGATTAGTTGAAAAACCCACATCCATTTTGGTCTCTGCTTCAATCTTATCCAAAATTTTGTTGATATCACCTAATTGTAAGTCTTCGCGGCAAAATAGTATTTTTGGCGGTTTACGAACACGCATAGAGCGTTGAAGCATAGTACGATATTGAGCAAGATGAATACGAAGGTGTTGTTCTATGGCTGCCTTTAACATATATATGTATAACAGACAAATTAATTAGGAACTTAATTTTGAAAGCATTTTAAACCAACAATAAGAAATTTTCTACCTTACTAATGCCTTTTTGTCCTTCAGGCTTCCACCAAATTCGCGCAATTCTTGAATCTGAAGATATAGTTATCTAAAGAATAATAAAATTAATCTTAATTTTAGACATTCTCACAAAAGATTATTCTTTGTACACGTACGTTGGTAACTTTCATGAATGTAGAAGTTAAATACACGTGTGGGACTTGATCATTACATTTGATAATTGCGCGGTTTAACCGTTGAGCGAGATTACGTTGGGTGTGATTTGAAATTGTTGAAAAATCGCTACCACTATAGTTTCCTTCTTCCTCATTTTTGAGATATTCTGAACTGCGAGCGGAAATTCTCAAAACTGGCTATAAACTGCGTTAGTATATTCGTAAATATGATATCAGAATCACTGTTGAAAAAACGTTACCTTACTCCCCACATGTGAAGCTTCGCGAGCCTCCTTTTTAAGTTGTCTTCTATTCTTTTTAATAAAATGAAGGTATCTACCTGGGATGTAATGGGTTTCTAGAATTTCGTCTGCATCATTTGCAGGTAAAGATTGAAAATTTGCAGGTGTCTTGATTTGACGGACGAATGTACTATTGCATAAGAATTTTTTGTTTAATGAGCGGAACACATATCTTGTACAGGATGTCATCTTATCACAAGTGCGCATTAGTGTAGATCATCTGATTAAGGTAGCTTTATCGTTTAAGTTAGAGTAGTACTTGCTATACGTACGGTTAAATGTTAGTATACATATTAGTAAAATCGCCCAAGGAAAACTTTTTATTAGAGCACTAAAGATAGTTTCCTATGCAGATTTTTGAATTATGAGCGATTTTTGACGTGTCCGTAAAATTTGGGTCTGTTCACGTGCATGAGTCGATATTGATATACGTGATCGCCTTGAAAAAAAAAATTTCAGGAAGCGATAATGGAATTACTGCAAGGAAAAGAATACCTTTCAATATTGCAAGGCAATGGAATAAAGAAACATGAACACACTGTCGTACTTTGGAATATGAAGATCGACTTGAAAGGTGGACATACAACAACACATTACTTAAAGCCATTGGAAGTTAATAATTCCGATAATGAACAAAACTATAGAACTATAACAAGAACTTTTCCTTGTAAGAATGAAGTTAGGCTAAGTGATTTAAATATTTCAAATTTGGTATGTTGAATCTTTTAATTCATTTATAAATATTTCACTTATAAGTAATTTACTTGTTATTGATAATTTATAGATAATTCTCGCGCCAGCTGTACCATATCTTGTGTCGCTTCGAAAACTGTATCTTCAGTATAACAAACTTACAACTATTCCGGAATCACTTTTTCACTTAAAATCTCTTGAAGAGCTACATTTACAATGCAATGAATTAACTTTGATTCCTCCTCATATTGGATTTTTAACTTCTCTTCGAGAATTATTTATTCATAACAACAAAATTCGGAAAATACCATCACAAATCCGTGAATGTAAAAAATGCACATTTATAAATTTGAATGACAACAATTTAACGTGTTTACCGGCAGAGTTTGCCACATTAGAAAACCTCAGAACTCTCCGCGTAAAGGGTAATCCTTTTGAACAGCCACAACACGATCAAAGCAAAGTTGGAGGCATTATATCGACTCTATTTGATATGTGTACTCAAGTCGCTGGAAATACAATGTTAGAAATGGGTCAGCATTTTTATTGTCCTAAAAAGATTTCGTGTTCTCGGAAAAAAAATTGCATTCATAATTTTCTTGTTAAAGATATTTTGGAACGTCTCGATATACCAGCTGATTACCCGCCAAGTGTTTGCTCATACTGCAGAGCGCCTTTGTTTCAGTCAAGTATTCTTTTTAACACCTTTGAATACATTTGTGGTCGAAGGGTACCTATAAGTTTTCAATTATGTTCATATACTTGTAGGAATATTATAATGAAGAAATACTTGTTAATTCATCAAAGGATAAATCATTAGGCGATGTTGTTATGAAGGAATGACAAGAGACAATGTTATAAACAATTTAAATTTACAATTAATAATTGTCTTATAAAAAGCTTTTGGGAATAATGTATTTAACTTTTAGAACAAACCAAAAAAGACATAGTGAGTAATGAAATATTTTAAAGCAATGAATGGCAATTGATATTTTTCAATGAATAAAATAATGTGAAAAAAAACAAAACAATGAATTAACAAAATGACCATAATATATTAACTACTCGGATTTCACGTGGTTAACTTTGGTTTCTGATTTGGCATTTTCTTGAGATGATTTTGTTGAGTCATTGTCCTAATTATTAAAAAATAAATATGATACCAAATATTATATAAATCTATTTTGGTTATATTTAATCGTTTCTCAAGACAATGACATACCTTAGCAGCACGCCTACGCGGCGAAGCCCACTCTAACATAAACATTAATAAACTAGACACCAAATAAATCTCATGTGAAATATCATGAGTAGATGTTGTATAATATAATGTAGTAAGGGTTGTAGTTCCCCATAAAACAGAAAGAGGAATTGCAGGCTTAACAACTCCTATATTTTCAAAGTGATATATGACCACAGTTATTAACTAACAAAAAGATGAAAATTATAAGTAAACTATTTCGAAATACATTAGAAAATAATAATTTTGAATGTGCAAACTTACAAGAACAGTTAACAAGGCTCCTGTGACAAATATTTCTGGTGCTGGGTGACCAAAAATGTATTGTGCCAAATACTTGATTGTAAATAATACAGCCAAGCTATTTAACAAGAGCTGATTTTTTTGTATTGTTAAAAGAATTAGGATATTAATCGACGAATTAATTATTATAGAATGTTCAATTAACAAACCAATTTGGCCTGCATCGATGGTGACTCATCGGTAGGTTCTGGCGGAATATACCAATTTCCTTTACTGCTTCTTTGTCGTGCAGTATATATTGCACTTGGAAGTACAGTGTAAATGACAAGAAACGCTGGTATTCCAGCAATTCTAGAAACAAAAATACAATCTAGCCTTCAATCATATCAGAAATTTGTAAGAGTACAATAAAAAAAATAAAACTCACACATCAGCTAAACTAAGTGCATTAAAGAAAGCTGCCTAAAATACGTAAATATGAAATGAATCAATAAGCGGAAAACTGCATTTACAATGAAACATCTACAATAAACCTCACCCAATCCGGAGGTAAATACGAAGTAATTGCGATTCCAAACATTATTTTTTTTAATTTAGATTTTTAAAAATTTTGTAAAGTTGCAGAGACGAAATCATTCAACTGGCTTTTATACGTCCATTTTTGGCACGAAAAGCGTTGCAAACATGTGAATGTATACATCATGCAACCTTATTAATATAGTAATCATCCACATCAATGTAATTCCACGCGCGACAATATGAAATTGACAGTTACGATGGCACCGTAGTATAACGATAAAGCTTATACAAAACTTGTGGAATTTTTAAAGTAACATGATAAACAAGTCCATTCGAGTATTTATTAAATAAATCTACCCGAATTTGGTATTTTTAAGTCAAGAAGTTTACTAATCCTTGGTTTTTATAACAAAATCGATTTTTTTTCTCTGGATTGCAATGCTAATACCGAGAAAATCATTATAACCGATCATAACCGTTGGTTCTGTAGATACATTGAACTTGGTGCTTATATAATCTCTTCGGTTGTAAGTTGCCCGCACGAACAAAAGGAATTTGAAAATGAACTTGGGGTCCGTCAACATCAGTGTTGGCAATTAGACAATTGGAAAAATAGTATTAGATGATTAATTGGATAATTGAACTCTAACAATTTGACCAACCAATGATACTCATCACTGGTCAGCATTGCTACAAATAAAACTGCTTAAGGAAAAGTAGTGGGTTTGTCTCGGTAAATCCCGTTTAGCGTTAATATTGTTCGTTGACTTTCGATTCTATTATCTATTATGCAGAATAAATAATGTCTCATTTTCTTTTCTCTTATGAAAACCAGACTATGATCGTTAATAAAAATTATTTCGATGATCGACACAACCGCTCATATTAAATTATATAATTTTTTATAATAATAACGATAATAATAACGGAAATGATTCCCAAGTTCTGGATAATTAAACCTAAGTGCCGCATGAACCTCAACTCTTACAGTGATTTTTTACAGGGGATCTCCAAATTTCCGGGTCGGACCCATCGGATTTAGGCAACCGTTTCTGGGCCAAAATTATCAGCTGGGGTCATGACTTCATTAATAAAACTTTTAGTGATCTTGGGCAAAATTAGTTAATTCCGGCCCCGCCGATCATGATTCCCCCTATATGAGTTCTTACCCAAATTTCCGGTCTGGATGTCTCGGAATCATGATCGGAATGGCCGGAATTAACTCATTTTGCCCAAGCTCACTAAAAGTAAAGCTGCCCAGCTGATAATTTTGGTCCAGGAAAGGTTTTGTATTGCCCGGCTGTGATCGACAAAATACTGACTCGCATTACATAATCTTGGCCGGATTTAATTTTTAATCCCCCCAAAAGAAATTTTTAAGGTTTGGGCCTGTCCGATGGTAAATTTTGCCCAGGACCATTTTTCACTTAAATTTTTGATATCAAATAACATATAGCAGTGACGTTTGTGACGTATATAGTGACGTATTGGCGTATATTATGACGTAAAGGCGATGTAAAAAGGTAGCTACCTTCAACTTTGTAAATGTCTGCATCTTTAATTGTGTCACATAAATTACAATTTTACATTACATGTAATTTTACTTAAGTTTCAGAAAATTAAGTTTCATGTAATTGTCATCACGTCATACATAGCGTACCAGATTTACAAAAGTTCTACTAGCATTAAATCGCCGAAATCTGATTTCAGAAACTAATTTCATGTGTTCAAAATTACAATTACATGAAATTTCAATTTATCAAATCTTACACAAATTATTGAAATTTAATATCCCTAGTTGGGCAATCAAAATCGTGAATTTCCGCGCATTTGTTTGTGCGGCACCTAGGTTTAATTTCTCCAACTGACAGATCTCCATAATTGTAACACAGGATCGGGTTTTATGGATATTCCTTCAACTTCTTTATTTTTTGTATCACCAAAATAATGAAAATTTTTAACGTAAAGTCATATGATCCAAAATTGGATCAAATTAATTTTTTAAGTTTGCTTAAAACACAAGAAAATCTCAAAGTAGTAAAACGCGTTTTCTGAAAATATATTAATGATAGAAGCTGGTACTGTGAATAATAGTTAATATGGGCTGCCGTCAATAGAAATCAAGCAAATCTATATTTGAAAAAAAATTAATGCCTTAACTTTCACAGTTCATATCTCGATGGATTTTAAAGCTATTCTAATGGTTTAATATTCAAAAGGAAGCTTACGATCTAAGCTTTTTTTTTTTTTTTGAATATTAAACCATCAAGATAGCTTTAAAATCCATTGAGATATGAACTGTGAAAGTTAAAGGCATTAAATGTAAATTTGCTTAATTTCTATTGACGGCAGCCCATATTATCATAATCAGGATAATCGTATTGGTGTTGAGGGTGAAATTACTTATCAATGTGAAAGAATTTCGCCAGAGCAACAACATATGATAGTATTGCAAGTAAAGTTATTCCCCTTTCAAACAATATTCGTAAATCACACGCTTCTTCGGGTCATTTGAATGAAAAATATAACAAATCAACCATGATAAGAAAGTTCTAACATGGTTTTATCACTTGTGTGTGTAACGAATCTTGTTGAAAGGAGTAAAGTATATGGCTCCTTTATCTATTGGACTAATTCATTTTTTAAATTGTCATTTTTTAAGTTAAATTTTATTCATGTAATTTAACAGACAAATATCATATACGTTAGCTTCAACTCGCGGAACTGATCCCAATACATTAGCAGAAAAAAAATATATGCAAATACTACTAGTGTTTTTCAATAATAAACGGCAACATTCTTTGAAATCTTGATACCCTCCCCTACAAAATTCCCAAAATTCTAATTTGAAAATTTTGCGGGGACGACAAAACTTTTTTTTTTTGTGAACGTTCGGATTACAATTCACAAATAAAATAAATAAGAAATAAAAGATAAAAATGTTAAAACCATTGGGCCACAGTTTGAAAAATATGTCAAACAAACAAAAAAACATACGCTGTAAAAGAGATTTGTTCTTAGATAATACGCGAACCTCAATTGTAATTAGTTGAAGAATTAGTAGTACTATCACCGTTATCTCCGAGACCAAATCTTGCACGCCTTCTTCTCTTCTTTTCCTTCATTTCGATCTTCTCTTTTACCCTTTGGTCTTCTAATTTCTTGGCGCACCGGACCGAACAAAAGTTATACCTGATTGGAACGTCTGGGACTAAGCACACCCACGTAAAATTCAATAATGTTGCTGCCGATTGTGTGTGCCAACAATCGCACACCGCACAAATTCGTTTATTTGGTTCTAATAAGGTCGATCGGATTACTTTAGGCAAGTAATTACATTTAGTTACATATTTTGTGGACAAAATGCTCTTATTATCATTTAAAATATAACGGTAACACAATTCAGAAAGCTTAGGCACGGCTGATTTATAACAATAAACGAGCTGGGAATTAGATTCAGTTTCTTTAGGTAAAGGATTATTGCTGATGTCAAGTTGTTGTAGGCCATGTATTTTCAGAATTTGACAAGGAATCTCTTGAAGTTCATTATAGGATACATTTAAAAATCGAAGATGAACAAGTTTGCCAATTTCTGCAGGTATCCATGAAAGCTGGTTATGAGAAAAGTTTAAGTATGTCAAGTGCTCAAAAGGAGATGTATACAATGGCAAGGAGAATAAAACATTATGAAGACTTTGTAAATTGTTGTGTGTCATTGTCAGACAAATACGATTGACTGATGGCGAAATTGCATGTTCAATTTTATCAAATACAGTGGTGAATTTATTAGTTGAATCAAATGATTTTTCATCTCGAAGACCGCTTTGCCATTTATAGATGGTGTTGCTGACTTCGGTTCTATTTACATCTTGATTCTTATTCACAACTTCAGTATTTTTATGACTATCTATCCATTTTAACAACTTTTCATTTCTTGAACTTTTTCTAATGTGCTTATTTGAGAGTGCACGTAAAGCACCTTTCTCTGTATCATCACATTGTCGCAACGTATTTGGATTTGGCTCCTGCTTTTGATTTAAATTCATCCATCCTGAATTTTTAATATTTTCGTTGTTTCGATACCTGATGTTATTTAATCTTCCAATAACGTTTGACATCTTGCCTGTATTATTGCGTTGGTAACTTCCAATTTGAGTTTTCGAAACGTTATCTAGAGTGTCTTCTTTAAAGTGGATATCCAGTTTTTGTTGAACACCTGTTATACTTGGTATTATACCTTTTTCGTTGTGCGCTCCAGACATATCTTGACGAAATACTTGAAAGGTTGTATGCATAATTCTCTAAAAGAAAAAAAAGTTTATTGTAAGTAAAAGAATTTCATTAAAAAAAAAAACGTTGGGGCTTTTTGTTAGTTTATTTAATTTGAAAGGGGGTTTATTGAAGTATAGCTCTTTTTTTTGAGTGGCCTTTTTTTTTATGTAGCTGCATTTTATACAGAACTGTAATAGTTGTACAAAGTTTACCTAACCAAGCCACGATATGTATAAAATTTCTTAATTTGTTAAATATAATATCTTGAACACCTGATCGATATTTAATTTTTAAGTTATAGATTTATATTATTTATATTATATTTAAATATATATTTTATTATACAACCAAACCAAAATTTTCGAAATTTTGTTTTACAGTGTTTAATTTATTTAGATTCGATTTAGAGAAAGTAACTGCATACTTTTATTTTACTTAATAATATATTTCCAGTGCATAGCGGAGGACGTACGCACGTATGTACGTCGTACGTCGTATATTCGATCACCGGATTTATGTGACGATCATTCTTGATTGCAAATTAGCATTACAGTGATATATAATAATAATATTGTCTAAATTAAGGGTAGAGTACAGAGTTTTTAAGCTATATACTAGAAATTGGAAACAGATATAATTCCAGAGCATGAAGAAGGGAATTAATACGTAGTATATATGTGTTAGATAAAGTCAGAAATCATATTGATATTTTTATTTATAGTGCAAATCATGTGATTGAAAGGACAGAAAATTCGCTCTGATAAAATTTTATAATAGGATTTTCATATGTTACACGGGTCGAACGAATGAATAAATGGTGAATAATAGATAAATAACAGAAAAAAATTCTGCCATTATTCTACCCTATATCTGCCAAATAATGACAGCATAATAGTAGCATAACAGCAGAATAACAGTAAAATAATAGGAGGTTTGTTAATATGAGTAATATAATAGTAACATAATAGAACAGTTTTATTATTTTACTTTTAGATACGAAGATTAAAAGTAAAATAATAGAACTGTTTTATTATTTTGCTATTATGTTACTATTATGTTACTATTATGTTACTTATATTAACAAACTTTCTGTTATTTTATTGTTATTTTGCTATTATGCTACTGTTATGTTACTATTATTTGGCAAATATAAGGTAGAATAATGATAGATTTTTTTTTTATTATTTATCTATTATTCATTTTTTATTCATTCATTCAATTTATGTTATACAGATCAACAAATTTGTATTTTTAAATTTTTTTGTCTAAGTTTTAATTATAATATATATTTTTTTAAGAAAAGTTATTATTATGATTGATGCTAAAAATTTTAAATATTTTAATATTGTAATAGAATTTATTTTTTTTTCTATATTAGTATATATTTATTTTTAGTTCTATATTATATTTTATATTTTTCTTAATATTTTTATATAGTTTATAGATTATTTTATTAGTTTTAATCACCTATTT